CGCAGCAGCGGGCACGCAAGCAGGCCTGGCGGCAGCGACCGACCGCGAGCAGGCGTGGGCGGCAGCGGGGCGAGGCGAGCGGCCGGCGCGCAAGCAGGCATGGCGAGGCGGCGGGTGCGCGAGAAGGCGCGGGCGATAGTGGGGCGTGGCGAGCGGCAGCGGCGGGCACGTGAGGACGGCAGCGAGGCGTGGCGAGCGGTAGCGGCCGACACGCAAGCAGGTGCGGGCGGCAACGCTGCGTTTTTCTGTTTTATTTTTCCAAAAAGTTTAAGTGTCCATTTGGGATGGGTATTTGCGTTAGGTACCATGATCTTCCGCCTGTCCGGCGTTGTTCGTCTATCATTTTTTTTGCCTCAAACGAACAAAAAAGAAACAAAATTCGTGTCTGTTTGAGATCTAGCATTGGAATTTGCCCTATGTATATACACTTTATTTATTAATATAATTTTTTTTGCGGGGTTATTAATATATACCATAGAACAATTGTCTATGGTCCAAGGTTCAATAAAAAATGGTCTTCTTTCCAAAGAAAACACTCTTTTCAGGTCATCAGGTTTGATAAGTAAATCGAATGTAATGAGCCAGGAAAACATTCGTGTGAGAAATAGCGAGCGCGGCAAAAATATAGGGTAGGGTTTGAATAAGAAATGTGTGAATCGTGTTTATTCCCCGCCGTCTGATGCCACATGGACGGACAGATGCATGCAAGATGGCTCATTCATGTAGCTGCCACCCTATCCCGAACTTGCGAACGCCCCCATCCCCATGTCATCCCGAACTTGCTGCTCCGGCCTCCCGGCGACGCCTCGCCGGCAGGCGGGCCACCACACCCTCCCACTCCCGGCGGCTTGTGGCCTCTCCTTCGCCCCCGAATTCGGCTCTTCTAGCCGCCGCGGCCGTCCTCCTCCGTTCTGCTGCACCAGCACTGCGCGGACTCGGGTGGTCGCTTCTTGTTCCGGTAAAGATACCTAGCCTGCTTGGTAGACTGGTAGTAGCATACTAATTCAACCCATGCATTCATCCATGTTTTCCATTCAGTCGCACGAGGTCAGTACTCTATGTTAGGTTCCGCAGTGCACCTATCCTCCTGATACGGTGGTACCTGACCGACTTGGACGTCTAGTCTTCCCATGGACGGTTCTGCTCCAGACTTGAGATTCATGTCGAATTTCCATGATTCCGACGGATGGAATGTTCCTGAGCCTTGACATTCTACTCCACGCAGCACTTTCCAAGACGCACGAGTTCTATTGTGTTCTTGTATAGTTCCTCAGCAAGTTATGGTAATCCCCGAAAGCTACCAGCTAGCTGCCAGCAAGTCACAGTAATTCCTGAAAGCTACTAACTGCTGCCAGCTAGCAGTGTTGCCGCTTCCTGCCAAGTCTTGCGCTCTTGTTGTTTCATCGTGCGGTTTTTGCTCATCCCGAGGCATACACTCCTTAATTTCCAGCCGTTCTGGAGTTCCTGCTTACTACTTCAGTGAATTATAGACAGCATTGTCAGTTATTGTGGAATTTGATGGGCTGGGCTAGTGAAATTTTCCATATTGATGTTAGAATTAGCCTTCTTGTGATTGGATTCACCACGAAGAATGACACAACAAGGGCTCTCAAGTCTATTGTGGAATTGATCAAGACTAACACTCATTTTTCTCCGCATTGATGGGGACAGTTTTAGTATTCGTTAGTTATGAACTTTACAATGACCTGTTATTTAGAGTTCATGCAAACAGACAACATGTACCTAGAGACTACAAATTGGTAGTACACCGCTTTCATGAAAAATATTTTTCTCCGCAATGACTGTTTTTTAAGAAACATGGTACAGAAGAAAATGCTCATATGCATGCATGCACACTTTGGAGGTCATGCAAACAGACAAAATGTATGTAGAGAGTAGAGACTATTACAGATTGAACCCGCTTTCATGGAGATATTCCTGTGTTTGTCGAAGTAGACCACTGGTTTGGAAGTCGGTGCACAAGAGCTAATCTCCAAAACATCCGTACAGTTGAGATGTTCAAACTGTTGAACTTTGGTAAAATAAGTCTAGATACAACCATTTTGAGGACAAGTATTTCCGGACGGAGGGAGTACAAGTCTTCCATAGACTTGTTTTGACACATTGCATACTTTGGAGGCTTGCTGTCGCTAAAATCCACACTACAGACAATGTAAGTACTGATAGGATTGATGTGAACAGAAACTGGTTAGCTTGAAGAGAAGTCCTGATGTAGAAAGTCATGCAATCAGACAAAGTTTATGCGTAAAACAGATTGAACGTACCAATTGTGTCACTGTTCTACCTTTCAAAGTAGAAAGTTGTCATCCTGGAGTCCATGGCTCACTCCAAGAACATCGCCCCACTGTGCCACTGGCAGAGCTAAGAATTTCTTGTTTACTGTGTACTAAATGCTGACAAGTAAACCAGTGAACTATTGTAGAGTGTAGTAGAGACTAATTTCAGACAGCGGCATCATCAATACCTTTATTGTTACTCATGAATTTGCCACCTGTTTTCTGAAGCCTGACATGTGCTAATAATAATATGCATCTGCATTATTTGCCAAATACGCAAAGTACTAAACACAAACAATACTAGCAAACTTGCAATTCTTGAAGAGCTTCTTTTGTTTCCATGATCACTACTGCATGTCATCAAACTACATTTGTTTGCAAACTGCAAGTGAACTAAATATTTTTGCAGTTCCCAGGAGGAATGTACTATCCACACTGCTATCCGCTTCAACGGTGCTACTTCTCGGACCAAGAGAGATCACCTTAGCTGAGACCACCGGCGGTGCATTCAGGGAGTACATCGACACATTTGACGGCTACTCCTTCATATACCCAAAGGGCTGGATCCAGGTCAAAGGAGCTGGCGCGGACATATTCTTCAGAGATCCGGTCCTCCTGGACGTGAACATGTCCGTCGACATATCATCCCCTTCTTCGTCAACGTACAAGACGGTCGAGGACCTAGGCCCCCCTGAGAAGGCTGCTGAGGGAGTTCTGAAGCAGTATTTGACGGAGTTCATGTCGACCAGACTAGGTGTTCGACGCGAGTCGAATGTCTTGTCAGCGTCGTCCAAGGTCGCCGACGATGGCAAGCTCTACTACGAGGTTGAGGTAAATCAAATAGTCGATGCAGATATCATAGTCCGCTGTGATCAAGAAGTAGATTTGACTTATATTTCTACCCTGTTTGCTGGACCCTGCTTCTGAATTGCACAAATCATCATGAGAATCAAGATGCGTCTGCTTTCCAGGTGAACATCAAGTCGTACGCAAGCAACAATGAGCTAGCGGTGATGCCGAAAGACAGGGTGCAGAGCCTGGAGTGGGACCGGCGGTACCTGACAGTCCTCGGCGTCGAGAACAACCAGCTGTATGCGCTACGGCTGCAGACGCCGGAACGGTTGCTCTCGGAGGAAGATGGAGACCTGAGGAGAGTCATGGACTCCTTCAGGGTCAACAAGATACAAGCGTAGTGCTAAAATGTGCCGCAGCAGCGAGCAATGTTTTGCCTGGAGATAACAGAATTTTGTATAGCCGACGCCATTCTTTATTCCCTGCCACTATCGTTTAATTTTCCTTGGCTTGCATAAGGGAGTACATGTACTTCGTGTGCTGTATTATAGTAGCAAAAATAGTGTCAAAAAACATCGCGCATAAAAATACAGAGTATGCAACATTGAGATGAAATTTGAGAGTTTACTGAGGCAGAGATTTCTCAAGGTAACACCACAAAGTGTATATTTGCTCTTTTAGGCCGCCGTCTCTGTTGCACCGGCCCCTGGCCTCTCAAATGCCAAGGTGTAAAACACCTTATATGCACTAAAGTGTATTTGTTGCCTATGCCTCAACTGATCATATCACGGGATTTACATGATTTCTACAGAGCGCAGACAGATCATACCACAGGATTTACATGCGTTCTGCAGACAGCAGTGGATCAAAACTTCAGTGCATTGTCATGGTGGTTTCAATCTAGTTACTTTTCACAGCCTTTTTCCCTTTCTGCTTCTGCTTCTGCTTCAGTTGAGTGAGGCCAGGTGCGGTGATTTTGGCATTTCCAACAATCGCAGCAACCAATTCAGGATCAGTGCATGCCTTCATTAGTTCCTTCTCACGGTTCGTGGCATCAGGAATGTGCATGAATAAGCTCATAGCAGTTTTAGCGGCTGAAACCAACAAGCAAAGTGATCAGAACACCCCAAAAGAATGAAAAGATGCACAAAATGTTGTTACTTCCATGTTCAAGAATGAGTAGAAGATACCTTTTCCTTTCTTTGCAGTGCCTGGGGTGATCTTTACACGATATTTGTATGTCTGTAACGCGTTATAAGGTGCACATACAGGTACTGCATATAGCAAAATGTCACTTGCCACTGGAATTCCAGTTAAGTAGTCCAAATCAATCAACTTTTCTTTCTCTTCATCACCAAGTTCATTTATATCATCTTCATCCATGGCAATGCTGCCATCAACAGGAGTAGCACTTCTATCCATACCATCTCTGCTTCTACCAACGTTGACATCAGTCGGATCAACAGCTGATGTACTTTCAGGGCAATCACGAGATAGATGTCCAGACTTTTTGCATTTATAACAAACCTTTAATGAGTCGTCTTCGCCTGACAGGGTAAAAGGAATAACAGCTCAGCTGAGACAAGAATAGCCACTAACAGATTGCAATTCACGCCAATCATTTCAGTTCAGTATTTGGGAACAACATGAACAAACTACTGATATCTTGTCTCAAATGAAGATGATTAATGACCTTGGCAGTTTGGCACAGGTCCTCATAGTTATGGTATGGTGTAGAATTATAAGCGCAAAATTGCAAATAAACCATAATAAGGAGAGAGTTGTGATAAGCACCAGTTGATGGTTTTGATTGTTTTGCAGTGGTATCTTCTCCATCCTGTGAAGGATTGTCCTTTTGTGAAGCCTTTCCAGAAGACTAGTATCAGGAGAAGAAGGTTGTCAGTTCCAATGACAAAAGGAGGAAAGAGTGCAACGGAAAAAAAAGTGTCAGTAGTGTTATTACCGCAAGCAAAGCCATACGGATTTCTCTTTCCTCTTCATCCTGCTCTGCATACTTCTCTTTGATCTTCTTAAGCTTGCCCTTCTGTCCACGACTTGTTTTAGGATTAGCAGCCTTTGTATTATCCTTGCCCTTTTCTTGCTGTGGGTTATCTGGCTTTTTGACAACTTTCTGAGGATCACTAGATTCACAGGCATTCTCACCCTTCTTAAGTTTTCTTCTCTCTGCTTTTGATACATATGGTTTCTCTCTTACCATTGATTTTTTCACATCAAGATCATCAGTGTCTTCTCCTAAACTTGAAAGACTGCTGACAAGCAAAGAGCTTTTACCTGACCCCTTGGCAGGGCCCAGACCAAGACTCTTATCAAGCAGATCCTCTAGTCGAGATGAAACGGAAGCATCAGTTCCACTGTTTTCCACTGCTTTCGTTTCAGCGACTTGTTGAGATTTGTCGGCGGTATCCACATTAGGCAGATTAGAATGGTTGGTATCATCATTCTGGTGAACGCCAGTATGATCCCTGCTTGATTCATTATCATGAGTTCCTTTGCTCATCTCATTGTCAGTAGCAAGTTTGTCATCCGATTCAGGATTACTTTGCTGCTTTTGAGGCTCTGCTTCGGTTTCTGGAAGGGTCTCATCCTCGCCCCTAATCCTCCTTTCATTTAGACGAGGCTCTGCTTCGGTTTCTGGAAGGGCCTCATCTTCACCCCTAATCCTCCTTTCATTTAGATGAGATGCCAAGCAACTCTCATCCAAACGGAAGAGGATACCAAAGCCCATAACAAGGGGGTGAGGTGGAAGGAAATTTTTCTTGCCACGGATCATAAAACTACCAACAGTGAGGTACTCGCCAGTGGGAGCTGTTTTGCTAACTTGATGAGGGTACACCCACCAAGCACTTGTAACAATTTTTGAATCCCATGCTTTGCTGTGGCAAACCTGCAGAAAAGCTCATGGTCAATTGGCCTAATTTATATGAACACTCACTCTTCAAAAGCATTGCGTGATAACATAATCACATAACACACTGCGTGATAACATAATCACATATTTGACTCACTGTGAAACATCCTGCTTGGTTCAATGTCAAGGGTGGTATTGGACTGTCAGGTTTGTGGTTCTTGATTATTGTACTGGAAGCTCCATGTAACTCCGCATGCACATACCTATTCAAGATTGGATATAAGCCAATAGCTTCTGTAAGAAAACCAAAGAATAAAAAGCATAGCACTGCTGTTTAAAACGTATGAGGTATGTCCATCAAGTAATGTTTTGATGATCGATTACATGCAAAATACCAGACAGAAGAAAAACAATGCACTGGTAATCTGGCAATAAGCTTACAAATGGGTGATAACTAACAGGGGTACTTACAAATCTCCTTTAGACATGTACCGCTTGACGACCAACTCATTTTGTTGAGCATCTCGGCCACTGACAATCAGGTAGTTTTCACTGCTGATAAACCAATTGAATTTCTCAAACCAGTGAACTTTCCTCATATGAGTGATTGCAGCCACAGTTTTTTCCTAAAAATGTCATGATATGAAGGTTCTTAAATATAATATAATTTAATATAATATACACAAGACAATGATTATTGGAATTATTACTGTATCTCTACTCTTATAAAAAACCGAGTTGGTGATGATGGTGTGCCTGCCATCTTGCAAGATAGACCGTTTGATCTATATCTGACGGATGGAAAGCAAACTATGGCAATTTTGCAAAAAGATACCCGCACCTCTCTCCACATTTGCAGATAAGGCCTTCCCTTGTTCATCCTTATCTCCCACAACCTCATTGTTGAGCAATTAAAAAAGGAAACCTCTGGAACAATCTGGCATGGTGGCCGCATGGGTTTTTACACTCCTCCTCACCCTATCTCTTCTCTTTCTCGAGATATCATTAGTTTTTACACATGGGATTACTTCCGCATGGGTCAATCACAACATGTGTTTTATAAAAAAAATGCATCTTGACGCTCCGTGCAATGCACGGGCATCTTGCTAGTAAGAGCATAATATTATCAGCATATGACACCACTAAACAGGCTAACGTACACGAATGAGTGGTTTAGATGACAGCTAAAGCTTTTTATTTGTTCATTTATATTCCACTAAGAAGAAAACCTGTCATTCAAGAGGAGGATATAGGATGAGGCTGGTTTGAACAGGCTTATGCACTTATAAAGAAAACTTAATCAACATGTTCTGATGAGAACTAAAATGTTAACATACAACTTCTGCTTGGTAATGCATACAAGTACACAGTACAGCTGTAAGTAAGAAACCTGAGCAAGCTGAAGACGTGTCTTCTTCTCGGCTGCTTTGAAAGCTTTCTCATGTGCAGTGATAGTTTTCTCTTGTTTGGTTTCCTGTTTTTTCTTCATTTCGTACCACCGTCTAGCATTTGCATGTGCTGAAAGTGATAAATCAACCTCAACCTAAAAGAAATGAAACAAAAGTGTATTATGAAAATCGGGAACATGGAGAAAGCGATAGTGGTAACTGAGTCACACAAGTAAAATCCAGGTACAATCTGCAAGCAAGGTCACATGCAGCATGTATCTAATTAGCCCCCTCATTTGCATGCTGATGCGCCCTTTTTGTGTAAGACATTAACTCTCCATCAATCAATCTTCAGTTGCTCAATTACGAAATAAATCTTCATGGGATTTTTTCATGCAACATAACAATAAATTAATACTACCTCCTTCCCAAAATAGATGACGTCCTAGGAGCATGCTCAAATTTATCTATCTTAGATGGCTACTTAACGATAAACTATTTAGATTTGTTAAACAAAATTTATACCATTAGATTTGTCATCAAAATAGTTTCACAACATTTTTTATACTTATTTACTTACATTCATACCAAGACTAATGATCAGAGTTGCTCACTGGAGAATCCGAGAATGCAATAAAATTTCATCTATTTGGGAATGGTGGGAGTAAAATAGTGTTGATGAGCAGCGGGCAGCTCTCCATAGGCATATGTACTTACAACTTAGTAAAACTGGCTGCCTAAAGAATTGCAAGACTAGAAACTTCACGTCATTCAAGTTAAGGTGGATAAATGAGGAGATTACTCAAGCAGTTCAGCATGGAGAACGTAAACTGAATCAATGGAACGCTAACACAAGTAAAAATAACAGGGGTCGACAATTCAATAATCCAAATAGAACTGTTTCTGACATATGACACCTTAGGTGAACCCATAGACCAACATTGCCAATAAGATACATTTCCGGTGTTCAAAGAAAAACAGCATTTTCATGACACAGGAAATGTATATGTAACAAGCTAGTTGTTTGTGGAACATACCTTCTCAACAGGCGCAGTTTTCTCTTCCTCATCCATGTCATCAAGATTATTGCTAAGAAGTAGAGTAATGCAATTTTTTTCAAAACTGAGCTTATCAATTAGACCAG